CGCTTAGTGAGGGCTAGAAAGCACTATGAAGTGGTATATAAGTCTAAGTGCTATTGTTATTGCCCTCCCTCCCTTCCTTCCTCTCTCCCTCCCTCCCTCCCTCCCTCCCTCCCTCCCTCCCTTCCTTCCTTAGTGCACAGTGGTTAGAATGCAGTATTGCAGGCTAATCCTGTCCACTTCCAGGAGTTTGATCCTTACCAGCTCAGGGGTGACTCAGCCTTCTGTCCTTCCAAGGTGGGTAAAATGAGGACCCAAATTGTTGGGGGGCAAGAGGCTGACTCTGTAAACCACTTAGAGAGAGCTGGAAATGATGAAGTGCTATATAGGTCTAAGTGCTATTGCTATTGTTTTTCCTTTTCCCTTTCTACCCTCCCTCCCTCCCTCCCTCCCTCCCTCCCTCCCTCCCTTCCTTCCTTCCTCTGCCCATTGCCAGCAGTTCAATCCTGACTGGCTCAAGGTTGACTCAGCCTTCCATTCTTCCAAGGTTGGTAAAATGAGGACCCAGATTGTTGTGGGCAAGAGGCTGACTCTGTAAACTGCCTAGAGAGGACTTTAAAGCACTATAAAGTGGTATATAAGTCTAAGTGCTATTGGCCTTCCTTCCTTCCTTCCTTCCTTCCTTCCTTCCTTCCTTCCTTCCTTCCTTCCCTCCCAGTGGTTAGAATGCAGTATTGCAGGCTAATTCTGCCCACTGCCAGCAGTTTGATCCTGACCGGCTCAAGGTTGACTCAGACTTCCATCCTTTCGAGCTGGGTAAAATGAGGACCCAGATTGTTGGGGTGGGAGCAAGAGGTTGACTCTGTAAAGTGCTTAGAAAGGGCTGGAAAGCATTGTGAAGAGGCATATAAGTCTAAGTGGTATTGCTATCCTCATGTGGAGTTTGGTACCCTCATTACAGGGCAGGAGAAGGCTGGAGAAACCCTGTTTCTCACACACACACAGCCCTAATGCCTGGCATGACTCACCAAACTCCCAACGGATTTGTCTTTCCTTGCATTTTTGGCAACTTCCCCCCCCTCCCCTTTCCCCCCCAACCAGTGGGTAGTATTGCTTTAATTTCCCAAGAGGAGCCTCTTGTGTGACACACTGTCAGCGAGGCACTCAGAACCTGGGCCTTGTTCCATACAATTGGGCTAGAGCGTGTTGAAGCATGACAAGTAGCCAGTAAATGTCACCAGCGTGGTCCAAACTCTGAGCCTTGAGGGGCTAGGGAGGACTTAATCATCTCGTGCACGAGGATTGTCCCCGCTTGCTGAGCAGGTGCCATCTCTCCTCCGAAGGGATCTCGCTCAGAGCCACGGCAGCTGCAGTTCTCTTCTTCGATTGGCAGCTTCATTAAGCGCACCAAGTGAGTTATGATGACAAGACCGCAGGGCTGGTTTAGGTTTCCCGGCTTTTGATTACCCAAAAGAGGGAACCATCTCTGGTCTGATCTGTCCCTTGGTGCTGTCCCCAACGCCCCAATAAAATATTTGAGCCATATCTATAATATTGACAGAGCAAATGATCGTAATTTATTGATGGAGATTTATAGCTCTTTATCTGCAGGCTCAGAGATCTCTCCAAATGTATTCATACATCACCTCTTTGAATACAAGAGTTTGGCTACCTGTGAGGTCCAGGGTATCTATGGCAATTCGCTGCGGCCAACTCGCCACTGCTAACTCTATAATATACTCTGGTGTGTGGCGGCAGCCAAAAAAACCAATGCAATTCTAATTTGGATTAACAGAGGGATACAATCAAGAATCAAGAAAGTACTAATACCACTCTATAAAGCCTTAGTAAGACCACACCTAGAATACCACATCCAGTTTTGGTCACCCCACTATAAAAAGATGTTGAGACTCTAGAAAGAGTGCAGAGAAGAGCAACCAGGATGATGAGGGGACTGGAGGCTAAAACATATGAAGAACAGTTGCAGGAACTGGGCATGGCTAATCTAGTGAAGAGAAGGACCAGGGGAGACAGGAGAGCAGTCTTCCAATATTTGAGGGGCTGCCACAGAGAGGAGGGGATAAAGCTATTTTCTAAAGCACACGAAGGCCAAACAAGGAATAAGGATCAAGCTGAAAAGGAGGAATTTTCTCACAGTGAGAACAATCAAGCAATGGAACAGAAGTTCCCTTCGGAATTGTGGGAGCTTCATCACTGGAGGCTTTCAAGAAGAAATTGGACTGCCATGGTGTAGGGTCTCCTGCTTGGGTGGGGGGTTAGACAAGATGAACTACAAGGTCCCTTCCAACTCTGTTATTCTATATTCAGTGGAACCACTTGCCTTCAGAAGTCGTGGGAGCTTCATTCTTGGAGGCTTTAAAGAAGAGACCGGGCTGCCATCTGTTAGAAATTGTGTAGGGTCCCCTGCTTGGGCAGAGGGGGTTGGACTAGATGACCTGCATCCGATGTAGAGATGGGGCCAGGACCATCTGGGAGTGGGGTGCTTCCTCCGGAGTCTGGCAGCAGTGAGGCAGAGGAACAAGGAGAGCCTGTTCCCACTGGGCGTATGCGCAGAGCTGCTAGAAGGCAAGAGCAGCTGAAACAAAAGGGGAGACTCGGGAGTAAGGTTGAGAGGTGTTTGCCCCTCCCATAAGGGATAAAAGTCAGGCCAAGATGATGAAACCTTTGCAGGAAGCGAAGTAGTTCAATAGATTTTGAGTCCTCCTTAAAGCTCTGTATACTTTGGTTGGTTTTTTTGTTGTACTTTGGTTGGTTTCTGTTTTTAGCAGCACTTCACATAACTGAAAGGTATGTGCTTATCTTGGGGGACTGTTTGAGATTAATTCTGGCTGGGAATGAAAACAATTCCCAGCGTTGCAATAAAATAGGTTTTGCTTTTAAAACAAGCTTGTGAATAATTACAGTTTACGAAGCCTGGGTTAGAACACCATGGAACAGAATTGGCCTTCAGAAGCCGTGGTGGCGCAGTGGTTAGAGTACAGTACTGCAGGCTACTTCTGCTGACTACTGATTGCCAGCAGTTCAGCAGTTCAAGTCCCACCGGCTCAAGGTTGATTCAGCCTTCCATCCTTCCGAGGTCAATAAAATGAGGAGCCAGATTGTTGGGGGCAATATGCTGAATCTGTAAACCGCTTAGAGAGGGCTGTAAAAGCACTGTGAAGCGGTATATAAGTCTAAGTGCTATTGCTATTGCCTCTGAGAGGCTGAACTCTGGGAAACAGCTTCTATCCCAGGGCAGTAACTATTGAATTCTATTATATAGTGCAATGTTAATGCAATATCGGGTTTTCAATTCATTGTATAGAATGTGAAGGGTATTTGTGTTTATTTTCATAGTCAAAATGTATACTGAAGATGGTATTTAATTTTGTTGTATGAGGTGCAATGACAATAAAGTAAAGTAAAGTAAAGTAAACTAAAATTGCATTTCCAGGAGAAGGGAGTGACCTGAAGCAGCTCTTTGTTCTGGGGTGAGTTGTACTAAACCCTCAGCTGCCAAGTGCAAAAACACAAGCTTGCATTTTCAAGAATAAATGAGAGGATAAAATAAAAAGGCAAAAAGGGGGGGATAAATATTATTTCTTAGGAAATGTGGATTTATTTTTCTCCCTGCCAATTATCCTCCTTCCTTCTGGATATTCAGCAAAACCTTTTCCACTCCCCCCTCTGTCCCTTCCAAACAGGGAAAAGATGAAAGACAATCATCTGAATGGCTGGAGTCCAGAGTTAGGAAAATCTGAAGCCATGCTGCATGTTTTTGGTGCTCCAGATACTTGACTTGTAATAAATGTTTCTGTGACATCCTCTCCATGTTAAAATCCTGTCATTTTTCATCAAAATCCATTTATGACTGAAATCAAACTTGAACAGGTGCAAGTGATGGGATAAGACAGAGTTTCCCAACCTTTCTGGCTTTGCAGACCAGTGGGGGTAATCCTACATAAGTGGCCAGGAAACACACACATGTGCAGCTCCATTTGCACAAGTGTGGGGGAGTTCATGCAAATGGAGTTCTGCATGCACACACTTGCACATTGCTCATGCAAGTAGGGGTGGGGTGCGCATGGGCATGCTTCCCTGCTGCTTCCGTGACCCAGTTCCAAATGGCTTATGGCTGCAGCCCGGGGGTTGAGGATGCCTGGGGTAAGAAATTTCTTCTTCTTCCTCTTCCTCTTCTTCTTCCTCTTCCTCTTCTTCTTCCTCTTCCTCCTCCTCCTCTTCTTCTTCCTCTTCCTTCTCCTCTTCCTCCTCCTCTTCCTCTTCTTCTCCTTCTTCTTCTCCTTCTCCTCCTTCTCCTTTTCCTTCTTTGTGTATTCCTGCAGGTGCAGGGGCTGCTTTACAGAACATTGAATGCCATTTTGCACAATCAGCTGTGTCTCCAGGGCGCAGGCCCATGGCTTGGACATCTTTGTTGATGGTGTCTTGCCATTTCTGTTTTGGATGCCCGCAAGGTCGCCAGCCATTGACTTGTAGTTGGTAGGCAGTCTTGGCCATGGTGGAAGGTGCTGCTCTCTGGACATGTCGATACCAGCGGAGCCGGCCTTCTCTCTCCTCTACTCTGTAATTGGTGCCACACCAAAATGCTGTCAAATGCTGTCATTTGTAATGTGGTCAAGAAGGGAGATGCCCGATATCCAAGGGACCACTTGCATTTCAGTGGCATGGAGATGGCCTTCGTAAGAAATATACCTGTCAGGTTTTTTTTCCTGTTTCCAAAATCTGGTGCTAATATTGGCTTGAGGGAATTTCTTGTTTCAATTGGGGGTCATTTTATTCATATTTGTCTAGGTTGGGTGTCGTTTGTGTATTCTCTAGTTCAGGGATGTCAAACTCAAGGCCTGGGGTAAAACCCTGGAAACAGCAAAGGACCGGCCTGTGGTGCCTCTGCCAGAGAAAAGGGAGCTCGTGAGGGCTATGCATGGCCCTTCCAAGCTCCATTTTCACTGGCAGAGGGTTGCAGGAGGCCATCCCAGCCAAAAACAGAGCTCGGGAGCCCGTTTTCATTGGTGGAGGGCTCAGGCCACCACAAGCGCCCCCCCAACATGAATGACGTCATGCTGGTTATGTCCACCCCAGCCCCCCAAGGTCAAACCCAACCTGATGTGGCCCTCCATGAAATCGAGTTTGACACCCTTGGGCTAGTGGTACCTTTCAAATGTCTGTTGTGAATGACGATGACATGTCGGTCTACCGGAATGATCTAATCTCTTCCTTTCTCTTTCTCCCCTTTTCTTTTGGGACGTTTTTCAGGAAGCAAACTGCTGGTTTTGGTGCTGTGCTTGAACTTCCCATCCGAAGTGGAGTTGTGTCCCGGAGCATGCGTGTGTTACAGTGAACCCAAAATCACCATCAGCTGCCAGCAGCAAGGGCTCGGCACCATCCCCATCGAGATCCCAGTCCAGACCCAGCGGATTTTCCTACACAACAACCGAATCGGCCTGATCCAGTCTACCAGCTTTACTTTCTGCCACAACATCTCTATTCTGTGGATCCACTCCAACAATATCAGTCTCATTGAACCCGGGGCATTCTATGGGCTCAACAAGTTGGAAGAGCTCGATCTGAGTGATAACGTGAACCTGAAGTCCATTAACCCTTCTACCTTCCAGGGCCTTGTCCACCTGCATACTTTGCACCTGGATCGCTGCGGGATCCTGGAGTTGTCCACGGGGCTCTTCCGGGGTCTTTTCTCCTTACAGTATCTCTACCTGCAGGACAACAACCTGCAGGAGCTTCCAGACGACACCTTTCTGGATCTCGCTAACCTCACCTATTTGTTTCTGCACGGGAACAAAATCAAGCGTTTGTCAGAAAACGTGTTTCGAGGGTTGACGAACCTGGATAGGCTTCTGCTGCACCAGAACAGGGTTGGCGGAGTCCACCGCAGGGCCTTCCATGACCTTGGGAAAGTGATGACCTTGTACCTTTTTAATAACAACTTGACAGTGCTGAGCGGGGAGACCATGGCTCCGCTGGGGTCTCTCCAGTACCTCCGACTCAACGGCAACCAGTGGGTTTGCGATTGCCAGGCCCGGTCCCTCTGGGATTGGTTCAAGCAGTTCAAAGGGTCTTCCTCGGAACTGGAGTGCCACTTACCCACTCAGCTGGCAGGAAGGGACCTCAAGCGCTTGCCGAGCACGGATCTGGAAGTCTGCCTTGACTCCTTCAACCAGATCCGAACAAGCGTCTTCAGCACCAAGACCAAGTCTGGCAAACTGCCCACAGCAGGCCCAACGCTCAGCCCCCAGGACAACGCGCAGAAATGCTGCCCACCAGAGATGGATAAATCTTTCATTTATGAAGCCAAAGCCAAGGCAGGGCCTTCTTCTCACAGCAACCGGGCTTCCCCTAATAACCCACTCAAGGATAAGGAAAATATGGCCAAAACCAAGCATCAGGTGGAGGCAGAGCTGCCCAAAAATGGCAGCAGCAAGCACATCAACGACTCGCCCTTTGGAACATACCCCAGTGCAGTCGACCCCCCTTTGACCAACTTGAAACCAGAGTTCTTGGGCCCCGTGGAGCCTTCCACCGCCCCAACGAAAAGGAGGCAGGGGTGCTCTCGAAGGAATAAGTCCAGGTCCCAGTGCCGTATGGCACAGCCAGTCCCCAGTGCCGGCCCCAGCTTCCCAGCCCTCCCAAGCCTTCTGCTGCCTCCTGTTATGTGGAGTCTCTTTTGCTTCTCTTGAAATCAATCGAGCCTTTGTTTTCAGGGGGGGCTCTCGGCTTTAAGAGAGGAACAGGAAGTGGGGGGACAAAAAGCCTCTGCCCCAAAGGTTGTGAAGGAGAAGTTATGCCCAGAGAAAAATGTTACAATGCTAAACATTTACTGGATGCCTTTATAAACTCTCACACACACACATAATCAACAACAACAACAACAACACAAAGTGTAAATAATTTATTTCTTCCTTCTGGAATTTATATGTTTGATTTTGATTGGTTGATGTTGCCTTTGTCCTTGGAATTACTCTTTTCCGAAAGAGAAAGAAAAAGAAAGAAAGAAAAAGAAAGAAAGAAAGAAAGAAAGAAAGAAAGAAAGAAAGAAAGAAATAGAATATCAAGAGGTATAATAACCCCATAACTTTGTAATGTTCCCCTCACCCTAAAGTCATTACTTTGTAATTTGAAGTCCTAAAGCCCTAAACAATATTGCACATCTTCCCATCTGCTGAGATCACTTCAGTGGCAATTTTTAAAAAATTCCTACTTTTCTGAATTTCGAGCTTTAACCTCCTTTCGTTTCCACCTGACTGGGTTTGCAGAAAGAGGCATTTGTTAAAGAATGCTCCCTTTTCATTCACTGAAGACTGCAGTATATATATAAATATGAATATATATATATATATTTTATTTTACTTGTGTACAAGTACAAAAAAATACAAAAAATAAATATTTCTTTCTTTTTTTCCTTATGGTGTTTTATCACCTTTGCACGTACTCACACCTCTCTTCTGGGGTGGGGGGGTGTCCTTCAGTGTTGGAGTTTTCTTCCTGGATTTTCTGGTTTCTGTTTCTTAAAGCTCCTGCAAAGGTACCTGAGAGCCATTACCTGCCGGAAGGAAAGGCAGCAGCTGAGCCAAGCGGGGCCACTTTATTCAATTTTCAGTTGGCCTCAGCAAAGGATTCCATCCCACAAAAGCCGCTCTTGTTAATGGTGCAGTGCCCTCCCTGCCTCCCTGAAAGGCCTTGCTCGCCTTGTGAATATTTCAGAATAGCTCAGAATAAGAAGCAAGAATTGAAATCAGGGCTCGGGCCAAGGCAGCTTAGACGCCAGAGAACAGGCAGCCAAGAGTCAATGACAAGCCAAATAAGGAAAAGTGAGAGGTAAAATCTCTCGCGGGTCTATTAAAGCTGAACTAAATTGTGGTCTCTGTATGTAGAAATATGTGTGTGTGTGTGTGTGTGTATTGGGATGTCTAGTATAGACTTCATATTTTTCTTTTCTAGGACATTTGAAAAGGTTTCTTGGACAGTCTTCTGGAGACCACAGCCTCCCTGTACTCTTTCTTCAAAGCTGAAATTTAAGCCTCCAGAGATTGGCAATTCCCTGAAGAAGCAGGCAGATGGTGCTTTCCAGTTTTGAAATTTTGCTGGTATTTTGGAGCTGGTGATGCTGCTTTTCTCTTACCTGTCTTTCCAAGGGTTTATGACAATTTACCACAACCAACTCACCGCAGCAACCTTTCCACAGCCAACCCAGTACAGCCATCTTGCCACGGTCAACTCATCACAGCCCCACAACTAACCCACCACAGCCAAACTCACCATGGCCAACTTGCCACAGGACAACTAACTATGGCCATCTCGCCACAGCCATCTTACCACAAGACAACTCGCTGCAGGACAAGAGTTACACTAACATCAAAGAAATGGTAGAATAGAATAAAGAAAGGGTGCAAAAGGAGAAACAAAATGAAATGTGAATCAAAAATTCAAATACTTTTTTGCTTATTTTCAATAATTAAATTGAATTGTTATATTATCCTACAGCAAGTTTTCCCATGGTGAGTTGGCCATGACAAATTGTCCTGCAGTGAGTTGGCCATGGCAAATTGTCCCATTCCGTCATTTCCAGGACCTTCCAGACTCCCCAAGTGTCCACTTTTTCTAAATTCCCCAGGGAAAAAATCCCTGCTTGATGGGTGTTAAGCCGGGGAGACTGCAAGCAGCTGCAGAGAATTCTAACAAGAGTTATTGAAAGGGAATGTCACGAGGTTGCAGATGTCTCAATGATGGGATTACTTTCCTTTTAGGAGGCAATTTCTCAGCTCATTAAGTCAGAAACGTCTTCCACTTTTTATTAAAAATTTTACTGCGAAGCAGTGACTTCTGTTGGTTGTGGCTGTTGGTTTTCCAGGTAACAGAGAAATGTACAGATGGCTTCAGTTTACCTTGGAAATCTCTCTGCCTGCGGGATGGAGACAGGTTGATATCCAAGCGCAGACCTGGACCATTTGGTTAAGAACACCACACTGCCTCCAAGAGAAATTTCTTGTAACATTTTAGCTTAGGAAAGGAAATTTGAAAGCCATTTCTGTTTCAGAGGCATTGTGGAACGTACAAATAGGAAAGTACAGGTAGTCCTTGACTTACAACTGTTCATTTAATGACCATTTCAATGACATTGAAAAGGATGACTTATGGAACTTCCAGTTGCACTTCCATTGTATTGGAGTAGAATCCGTGATTGTCCACGGTTTCGCTCGAAGATCTCTCGATGGAGAGTCCCAATTGGGATTGGAGCCATCCTGTAGGGGTGGTGAAGAAAGGGGGACCACCTGGCAGGTCAAGTGGAGCCGCATCTCCCTCCCTGACAAGGAACACCCCCCCCCCAAAGACGAGCTGCAGCGGTAGCCTTAAAATATCTACCATGAACATGGGAGATAGTCTGGATAACTAAGACTGTGCTGGAGCAGAGAAGCAGTGAATGGTGTTTGGACTGGGTGATAATACTTAGAACTCTAAGGTAACCCCGATAAAACAACAGAAAAGAATTCTTATAAAGAGTTGTGCTGGCTGCGATTGGAAAGTGTGAGAAAAATTGGGAAACACAAGGAAATTACTTTTGGGGGAAAAGAAAAGAATGACTTATGACAGCTTTTCACACGGCCATTGTGGCATCCCCCTGGTCACATAATCAAAATTCAGATGACTCATATTTATGACAGTTGTGGTGTCCCCGGGCCCCTTTTACCACCTTCTGACCAGCAAAGTCAATGAGGAAGTCAAATTCACTTAACAACCATACTACTAATTTAGCAACGGCAATGATTGTCTTACCAAATCATCATCCTCTTTTAACAACCCCATAATCTCTTGCAAGGTGGAGTCTGGGCAACTGAATGGAGCTAGCAGAGTGCTTTAATGGCCGGATGCCCTTTCTATTACCAATGCAGAGTTTATTCAGCAGATATATTCTCAGTGTGCCCAGAGAGAGAAATATCTCACAGCCTGCTGATTGTGAGATGAGAGCTTCATCTCTAGGCCACCGCACCATTCCTATTCACTTACCAAATGTGACAAGAAAAGTCGTAAAATGAGGCAGAACTCACTTAAATATCTCATTTAGCAACAGAGGTTTTGCTCTCAATTGTGGTTGTATGTTGAGGACTACCTGTAGCCAGTCTTTTTAACGTCAGAAGCCACAAATTAAATCCATGAAGGGTTAGCAATATTAAAATGAGTTGGAGGGGCTAAGAGACAAATCCATTAGCAGTTAGGAAGTCAAACAGATTTGCTCTCCCGTTCATCAAACTGAGCAAGAATTGGTTGGAAAACTTATAAGGTAAATTTTTTTATAGGACCCTACAGAGTTTTGCCTCAGTCTGATCCTTCAAGGATTATATCCTGACTTTGGATCTACACAGGAAGAGTAAACAATTATAAACATGTTCCAAGATAATCAAATGAACATTTTATACTGCTGAGGAAATAAAAAAATAAGTACCACATTTTAATATTTTTATTCCAGAAATGCTAGCGTAATTTTTGTGGAGAGTCCTTTTAAAAAAGAGATTGTATCTGCAGTCTGAAATGATCTAGACTATTTCCCTGTTTATTCTCTGGAATAATAACTGCCCCCCTCCCATCAGTGCTGGGGAAATACATCTCATTATGTTGCTTTTGCATTATAATTATACAAACCAAATTTTGACAGGTGGTAGAAAAACATGGCTTATAGCAATAGCAATAGCACTTAGATTTGTATACCAGGCTAACAAACCAATACGGGAATATGATTTCTTTGGAAAGTGTAAAATTATAAATTACTATTTGAAAAGGGCAGAGAGCAGACAGCATTCAAAACAGCAACTGGTAGGCATTCTTTTGTGACTCCAGACGGCAAATCCCACTCAGTCCTAGTTGCTCAAATTAGAATGTGGCTCAGCACTCCGATTCCATGTTTCTTCATAGAACAATAGCAATAGCACTTAGAATTATGTATCACCACTTCACAGTGCTTTACAGCCCTCTCTAAGCAGTTTACAGAGTCAGCCTGTTGCCCCCAACAATCTGGGTCCTCATTTTACCCACCTCGGAAGGATGGAAGGATGAGTCAATCTTGAGCTATTGGCAGTGGGCAGAGTTTGCCTGCAATGCTGCATTCTAACCACTGCAGCATGGAAGGAAGGAAGGAAGGAAGGAAGGAAGGAAGGAAGGAAGGAAGGAAGGAAGGAAGGAAGGAAGGAAGGAAGGAAGGAAGGAA